CATAAAAACTTTTATATTATCGAAACATTGTTGAAGTAAGATTGAAGTTAAGCGAAGAAGAAAAGTTTTTACTTTTCCTAGTTTTTTAAGTATGATATCACTAAAAAAAAAAAAATCTTACCCATTTCATAAAAAAAAGATCCTTTCAAAAAAATTTTTTTCCGATTCGTCAAGTACGTTGCGGTAGGTTCGCTTTATAAGAGTCTTATTATATGGTGTCACGCCGCAAAACAGTCAAAAAAATGTGAAATGTAAGTTCCGGGTTTCTGTGACAATCATCCCATTCAACCTTGTTCGCTAATGCAAGCGAGAAACATGCTGATCTTTCGTCAAATTGGTGGTTTGATCTTGCCTACCTGCTGCGCGAGCAGTGTCTGACTAGGTTAGTCTAATAGCGTCCTTGTGGTAAGAAAAAACGTACAAGAAAGAAAACGGTAAGGTCAAGAACGCGTTTGAATGAGCATAACAAGGAATATCCCTTTTATTGTGAAACTGTGAACAAGCTGCCACTTTTCAAATTTCACGTTCTCAATGTCAAACTTCAACGTAAAAATTTATTAATGTGCCCGTCGTTGGTTGATATTCCTTCCGTACTTTTTAAATTGTATTCTCCGTACACGTTACCTGGTAACGCACACACAAGTGATCGATAACAATATGACAGCCCTTTCGGGATTTGCAACATTCGTTTGTTTCAAAATGTAACATAATGAATTGATAGAGTACTCGATGAGCATCTGCGCAAACTACGGGATACATTTGTAAATTAATGCATTGTTACATCGCGCGGACAAAAAAAGAGGTCGATATATTTTTGGCGAACCAAATGCCACTTTTATATACTAGGAGTAATAAATTGCAAAATAATAAATTTCAAATTTTATTTAAAAAATATACAAAATTGACCGATCAGTTTTTAATAATATTAGTTCGTTTACAAATATCGAAAGACAGAAATTTGATCCATTTTGTATTATTTTATCATTTTTATAAATAACGTACGTTCCTCTGTTTTTTTTTTTTTTCTAAATTCCGCTGAATTGCAACGTATAATTAAAGTGCCAGCTATATCTGCGTCACACGCGTGATTTATATATATATTCATATTTTCTTTCTCTGGAATTAGAACGAAAAGATTTTTGCGGTATGAGACACCATAATAAATCTCTACTTTTACGATGAATATAATCGTGGCTCTTTTGCGCGGAGAAAGAGAGAGAGAGAGAGAGAGAGAGAGAGAGAGAGAGAGAGAAGAAGAGAGAATCAGGTTTTCAGGACCCTCTGAACACGTGTTCATTTTGCATTGGCGTATTCAAAACGCGCGCAAACACGACAGTCGCTCTCCAAGTGTTTGCACCGATACTTGTTTGCGGCTTATGAAAATTTTAAGTCCTATAAATCACACTTATGGAACGGATGTGAATTACGATTATTACCGGTTTTACTGCACCCAAGTGCGCGTCAGTAATCCGGCGCTGTCGCACCGTAAAAGCGAAAGTAGGGAATTGCAATAAGCAGAAATTTTACGCTCGACTGATCAGGTTCGACTTTAAACGATGCGTAAAATTCAAGGTCGTTTAAAATGCCAAAGCATGATATGAATTTGTCTGCCGTAACGCCATTGTGTCAATTGTAAAAAAAAAAAAAAACTGAACAAGTCTGTGATTAACGTTCGCAAAAGATTTGGTCAAATTCTTATTACCAATTTATATTAACTGACGTTAAAAAAAACTTTAACCGAGTCAGAGACGAGAAAAGTGATAAACACAGTTGCTTCGCTTTTAAATCTCTTAAAGATAATTCATTTATTATCACTATTTGCATAATTAGTACTTTTTTATGAGAATTATGTATAAGTAACGTAAAAAGTTGCATCAAAATGGTATATTTATAATTTGTATTTAGGTTACAAGAAGACAAAACACACGTATAAAATATATATACAAAAGAATATTGCTGATCGCAACTGACATTTTGTGATTTTTGTTTTAATATAAACTTGATAGCACCGAATCATTCTACTGAAATATTATTTAGTAGATATTTAGATTTAAAAAAAGTAGAACACCGATATTGATGCGGCATTTCTGGTAAGTATTACACTTAAATTAAGACCGGCATTGACGTACACACACTCTCTTTTTCTTTCTCTCTTTCTCTCTTCTGAATAATAATAATAAATATAAAAATAAAATTAGAGAATTCACATTAAATATCATAAAATTCTAACGGGAAATATTGTTAACAATTAGACATTAATTCAGCAAACATCGTATTATTAATTTTATTGCAAATACGTCAAGATAATGAGAACGCAATGTTTCGCGCATACATGAAGCTTTATTGCAATACATTTCTAAAAGTCGTTAAAGGCAAGTACCCATATTGTCTACCGGGAAACTTAATCTTCAGCTGGTGCACTGTTTCCAGGCGAATGAGGTTTCATTAAAAAAATCCAATTTTCAAGAGCGACTACGTTCAAGCCAAGGGGCAAGAATTAAATTCTGCATACTTCTTTTTTTGCTTGCGGCAGCGCGAAATTTGATGGGCTTGGGAGGAGACCCTCTCTCACTCCCAATATACGGATAATATCCTAGAGTGCGTAAAGAGGCTGATATTAAAGCAGGAAGGAGGCGCATAGGAAAGACGCTGTCGACTCGATAAAAGAAGACGTTTTTATTTTTTTATTAAGTTGACGAAAAAATTGAATAAATCATTTCCTCCGAACAGATTATTATATAATATGTTGCGTGTTACATAATGCTAATTATGTAACACACAAACACACATACACGAACAATCCGTTTTGCAAATAATAAAGAAAAGTATGTGTATATATACACAATAAATATAAAATACGCGAAATAAAATTCTGTTAAGATACTTGCGTTTGATTTTTTTTTTTTCAATTTTAGTTTCTTTTGCTAGAGATTAAAACTAATATTTCAAATAAACGTACGTCTGATATGTAACACAAATGGCATAATTTATATATTAAATTAAGAAATATAAAAAAAGAGATATTCCAATTTTGCTGTGTCTCGCGTTACTGTAATCACATAAAATATAAATAAACGTGGCTAGATTAAAGGTACATACATGTACATGTAACTCTCAGGAAATATATGTTCAAATATGAGATAACACTGTTGATTACTATGAGTAATGACTGATAATGAACTCCTGCATGATCTACTTTATGATACTTCTGCTCTCGTGTGACACTTATGGGATACGCGGTACCTCAAAGCAAGGGGATCTACATATTCAATTAAATGTCGGTTAATTGTGGTTGGCGTGATGCGGGCATCATGGTGGAAATTAGCGTAATCTAGTGAAGCGCCAGAACTCGTTGCGCGTGTCGAATTTATACGCGTCGCATTTATGCGTGTTGCCCGCAGTCGAAATGGGAACGTCACTTCGCACATCGAAGTTTATGCGAGAGCTGTGAAAAATGTCTTGCAAATAGTGACTATGTAATTACGCGATTTTCGCGCACTACCGTCGATGCTCACACCCCAAAAATATGCATTAAAATATGCCGCATACTGACAGCAGTGAATAAAAAGAATTTATTTTTAAGCAGATTCGTACAAAAAAATTAATGCAAATCCGTCGAAATTTCAATGAATCGAGCTTAAATCAATTTTCACTGACGTAAACGCTCTTCGTTACCGTATATATCGAGATTGTACCTGTACAATAACAATTTGTTTCTCGAATAATACTTTTCCGCAAAAAAAAAAAAAAAAACAAACGTGCAATAACATTGACCGAGCATAGTAACGCGAAGACTTTTATTGGATTAAAAAGAAATTATATTATACAAGAGAGAAATGACATCAGTGGAGAAATCATAAATCGTCAAACAATATAGATGATTCTCACGATTTTTTTTTAGTCGGAAATAATGTCGATGATTTTTTAAATAATTTTTTTCTTTTTATTAATTCGTAATTCACAACACACACACTGTTGAAGCATCGAAACGTCATTCGCTAAGCGTGAACATCCTCTGTGACCGTGTCATCATTAGTCGACGTTGTATCGATGATCCGTGAAAATGACTCGTTTAGCTTGTCCGATGGAAACACCTTTCTCTCGAGTCCTACCATTCTTCCCACGCTGAAATTCAATGGTTCAAAGGAAAAAGGGAGTTGTAACACCCTTCCCTCGGAAAACCCGCTTGCTCGGGAGTATGATAAAGAGATTTCCCGCCTCTCCCCGTCCGATTCGAGAAGAATAGCACAAGTGGAAGTGTCGAACATGTGCCCGGGATTGGCCGGCGCACTTTCTCAGACCGAGGCGAACTCCGAAGAGTCAGGTGCAAGGATGTACATGCGCGCGGACGTCGAAATATTTCTGAAAGGAACGGCTGGCCAGGACGCGGAAAGAGGATGTCGGGGGTGGACGTGGGGAAGATCCGGAAAGTCCTTGGCAAAGGGTGCACCTCGAGCGCGCGGCTTCTCCGAGAGGAATGAGGGATGGGGAAGAGGTTGATCGTGTGCGGAGAAGAGAACGGGGTGGTCGTTCGGTCTTTCGTACGTGAAGGGTCGGTGTTAGGCAGTTGGAACATGGCATAGCGCGCGCGGGAAGGACAGGCAGTCGCACTCGAAGAGAGGAACCGACCACCACGTTGGAATGCGAGCGGAACGAGGACGGCGAATGGGATGAGAGGAGAGAAAGGACGAAAATGAGAGAGAGTGAATGTGAGAAAGAGAGAGCAGGAAGAAGGAACAGTTCCTGAAGAGGGCGACACAGAGAGAGAGAGAGAGAGAGAGAGAGAGAGAAAGAGAGAGAGGAGAGACGTAGGTTGAGAGAGTAAGGACAAGAACCGATGGGGTGAAGGCGGAGAAGGGATCCCCTTCGCACGGGGGATGGTGTGCGCGTAGGGTCGCGCGCGCGACAGCGAGTGCGGGTGCTCTCGGAAAAGGTGGAGGGGGGGGGCGAGCGGTGGGGACTCCCTAGGCTGGAGGAACCAGTCGGTTCCCGGCTTCAGGTCGTGGCGGCGCTTTCAGTTTACAGGCTGGAGCCGTAGCGTGCGGTTGGCCTGTACGGTTTTGTACGAAGTGCGTGTCGTTTCGTCGAAGAGAAGAGAAAATACCAGCAAAATAGTCGATCGAAGACGAATAGTTTTCGATCTTCGTTCGTTCAACGTGACAAGAGAGACGAGAAATGTAACACAGTGTGAAAAAAATTTTTCTCCGTTTCCTATTTAAAAGAAAATATCGGAGTCCGGCACATCGAGCGGTCCCTGCTCCGACGGACGCGTTCTTTCTCTCTTTTGTCGACAGAAACAAGCACGTACTTTTTACCGCGAGTACCGGTTGAATGAGACCTGTCGATCGCGATCGGTGACTAGTGCGACATCCGCTCCGTCAAGCGAAATCGGTGGCGCCTTTCGAAGCATCGCGATCAGTGACATTAGCGTGAAAGACTGGAGTGACGCGCGAATAAACAGATCGCGAACGGCTGTCTATCACTGACTCGCGACCGCCGAGTTTATCGGCTCTGGTTGTAGAAGGACGTAATCGGGGATCTCGTAAAGTGAGTGAGTGACAGTGGCGGAAGTGTGTGATCGCCAGGGCGGCGAAAGATAAGAGGGAAGTTCTTAACGACGCTGTACGTGGCAAGAGAGGGTCACCGTTTTCCGAGAGACAACGCTCGTTAAAATCGGAACGAACTCCGAGACGAACCTCGCTGCCGATAAGCTTTTCTAAGTGGTGAGTTTTTCTCTATGATTCATACTGTGAGACGAATTGTCATTTGAAAAGTGGAGATTTCTAATAACAATTGAAAACGAGCATTCGATAAGATTAGATAAATTGAGAAGAGCGATTATAACCTCTCTTTTAGACGCATGAGCTAACATTATTTTCTGCTCCATCGAGTTTTCTTATCCCGCGATATTTAGATATTTAAAATAATATCTACAAATTACGCGGACATGTTCTTCGCGAAGAATTCACATTGCTGTGAAAAGTTCGACGAATGTCAATATTTTGACGGAAATTTTGTTTACGAAAAAAAAAAAAAATTGTTTACCTCGTTTTTCCGCAAAACCGAACACAATTTTGGATATGCCGGTAACGATAGACCGAAAGTTTTCGGAGTTGATGGAAATTTTTGAAATTCTTTGACGTATTTGTATCACGTTGTCAATCTGTAAAGTTTTCTGACATAAACCAATGATCTAACGAGTGGTCGAGAAACATAAACTTTCAGATAAGAACTTAGACGGACAGTTCGAGACAGGTTTTTCGACATCAATAGTTTTCCACGTTGACTCGGCACAAAGATACGCAAAAATCTAGATACTTAAAAGATACTTCTTTTTTTTTTTTTTTTTTTTTTTTTTTTTTTTTTGAGTGCTTTTAAGTGTCCGCACAGCACTGGTACATGATCACTTCTATGATAACACGTTTTTCTCATTTAAGTAACACGCATCCATTTAAAAGGTGCGCAAAAGATTCTAAATTTTTACGATTTTCAAACTCAACGATATGCTCGGTAGGACAATAAGCGATACCTAAGAACAAGTTTTCATTGCGAAACCTTCAGTGTATAATTAGATACAAAAATATTTTTGTTTCCTACATTTGTTTTTTTTTTAATTTAAAAATAGAGCAATCCTTTTCTTTCAATGTACTTTTTTGTGACAAGTATTATTGCCACAAGAATATCATGACGTAATTTTTTTCGTCATGCTCTTGTAACTGTTTCTAAGTATGTTCATAAATATCGGGTGACGTCGTCAGTTAAACTTTTATTTCCTTTTGTCAGAAATAAATAAAAAAAAAGGCTTAAAAATAACTGTAGACTTAGACAGAGATGTCAGTTTTGTCACGTGTATTGTTTTGGATCTTGATAAAAATATTCAAATAACTTTATATCTGTATATGTATCGGTGTCGAGATAAACGGTGCGTTTACGCGTCCGAATTTTTTTGGTTTTATTACAGAAAAAAATAGTCATCTCGCACAATCGGAGTAGAAAACGCGAAAATTGACAGGTTGCTTGGCAGTTTGATAGCAAATGGGCGATTGAGATATTTGGTACCTACCGTTCTAGCGAACAGTTACGAGAACCGCGAGAGTCATTTCGCGAGTATAATGCTTTACGATAATATTAGCGGATCGATGTTTATGCCGTGGCGCCTGTCACGCGCAGTCTGTCGCTCGTAGTTTCGCACAATGCAGTTAAATGCGAAAGTGATCGTGCGCAGCGAAAAAAAAAATAAAAATCGCGCGATCATAAAACACAGAAGCTCTCGATCACGCGGGAACATACGCCAATGCGTATGTCACACAGAGCTCGTGAAAAGATGGTTGGGACCAAAGTTCGAATGCCGTTTCGAGTTCGCGCTAAATTGCTGAAATTTAGTGCCATATGGTGTCGCACACTAGTATTTCATATACAACATATACGTTGTTCCGTCATTATCGTTTCTGTTCGAGACAGGTTCTTTTGACGAATCGATGTGAAGTCGATATTATTTTCACTCTGTGACAATATATTTAGAAACATAACAATTATCGAATCTTTTGCCCGAAATATATTTCACGAGCTAAAATTTTGACTTGCAACGCGAGAATGTTAAAAAGAAAGTAATTTTGTAAAAAATCCTTTTTGAAAAAAAGATATATTCATATTGTAGAGACGCGACGGCAACTGACGAACTGATCAGATTTCAAATCGACGCGACGTTGTTGAGCCGTTGCGGGCAAAAATGTAAAAAACTTTCCGGATTAGTTGGCAAACAATCGATTCCTCCACTTTAATGTCGCAATCAATGGCATTCTGAGAGCTTTTCACCGATGAGACTGCAAAATCTCGGGCCAAAGGCAACATCGATTCGCGAGTTTTCAATGAAACCTGACAATGACCGGCCCAATTTCTACGTCTGTGAGATTTTTCTTTTTTTTTTCTCCGGAAGTTACTGGCGTATAACGGCGTTGTCCGTAGTCCAAGGCGGGGAATTTAAGAGCATTGTCGTGTCGTGCGGCCAAGTCGAAAATAAGAGAATTTCAAACGAAACTCTTTGCACCCTATCCACCGCAGGGAATTTTTCTTTCTTCTTCCAGGCCTTTTTGTCGCCGGTGTCCGTAAATCTTAATTCATCCAAGACAAGACGTTCTTTACCGTAGAAGATTTATGGGAAAGCGTGCATTTGTTACTTTATTTCGCGTAATTTAATAATATCCTTAATAATATAACGGAAAGAAGGAAAACTTTTTTCAATTCAGCTTATTATCAATATATAACACAATATATTCCATTCGAATTGTATTATTGATGGCACGACATTGTCAATTTTAAAACATGATATTTTTGCCGGTAGTTTATTTGAGTGTGACCTAGTTCCCTACTGTTCCTAAATGGTTTGTTTGTATTGTGATGATATTTGTGGTTTGAGTTGTAAATTTTGGATTTTGACCTTTATTGTGATCACCACCTAGGGGCTATAAAATGGAAAACAGTCGGAAAGGTATAGTATTCAGAAACGGATAATCCCAAATGGAATGTTAAACACACCTTGCGAGTAAACACATTGGGTCTGGGATTATCATGAGAGTCTCGAAGAGTTAAATCTGGTCTCTCACGAGACGTTTCCTTCTCGCCGTAAACAAACTCGTTCTTGACGCGTGACTCCGTAAACTGTTACGCGTCTAATAACACCTTAATAGGACCGCCCCGACGCATCTAAGAACGTAGATTTCAGTAGTTTCGTAAACGCGCGGCGCGCGTTACAGATGATATCATACTTTATGAGCACGGCGATGTTTAAAAATATAAAAGTAGCGAAATTGATAAATGGTAAAAACTCGTTGTGAATTATCTTTATATTGCGCTGAATGATATACGACGCGAGAATGAAATATTCATCTCGACCAGAAAAAAGTATCGGTCTCTGTTGAATGAAAAAAAGAATGCGAGAAATAAGATGTGTAAATTAACTTCTAAATTTTTTGTATAAAATATTCTCTTTGTATATTATTCTCAACATTCTTAATATTTGTCGTGTTCAAATAATTTGTTTAAAACAAAGAATTTAAAAGTTGCGAATAGATGAGTCATTTGAAAAAAAATATATATTTACGATTTTTGAAATAAGTTCTCTATTAAAAGTAGCTAAATATTCTTTAGACAATTATTATGCATGAAAAGTATCTTGTATACATTAAAGTTTCTCAACAATTTATTAATTTATTTAAAATTACTCGTGTCTTTTACTTAAATAAGAGAGATCATTAAACGTTAATAGATAGATACAAGCTGCGATGTCCTTAAAATTACACTTGATACATTTAACGTTCTAATAATAGAAGCGCGATCGCCTTTTTCGTCGAAATAAATCAATCATAGTGAGAATAAATCCGTAAAAGTAAACCACAAAGTAAAGCACAATGCAATTGAACCGTTCTTGCGGAGCCGATCGCGGAAAAACGGAGCAATCGATTTGATTCATCTTCTCGATATCGCGGCGTTCTGCACGGTCGCATTTCCATAGGTTGAGGAATGAGTCTTCTCGGGAAATGCGAAAAGATTGTCACGAGAGCGCGAGAGAGCGCGGGGATAGTGTCGGACGATGTTTCACGTGGCTATTCTATGCGTGTGTGAGTGTCTCAGGATCTTTATCGGCTATCTCCTTTAAGCTCACTCTTCTCGTGGAAGATTCTCCGCGACTTCGAGGCCGTTTCCCGTACTTCCTCGCCCGTTTTCTTCTTCGCCACTCTCGCGTGAAAATTATTCTCTCGTTCGCTTTTCTGTCTGCGTGCGTCGGACGGAAAAAACAATCTGTTAACGGATCTCGTTCTTCACTCCCGAACTACGACGAAAGCATCTTTGTAAATTCACCTACGATCTGATATAGTGATATTAAATTATTGAATTGTGTGCTGATGCTCATTAATCTTTCCGCGAAATCTGTCAATGTTTCGCCGTGTCCACGTGAAATTTGATCACTATTTATATCAAAGTTATTCGCGATCGGTGGAAAAATTAATATGTCGTTTATATTGACATTTTTTTTTCGTTCGTGTTAACTTCTTATCAATAGCCTCATATACGTACCTGTGCGCGATTCTTGATTCCGCGACAAACACGGTATTTATAGTACGAAAATATATCTGAAGGTTTTTATTCTGTTACGTGCGATAATAAGGTGGCGTGGCATATTAAATTAGTCACGCAGGTCATGTCGCACAATTTGCATTAAAATTGTAACGATATCGAGAAATGTACCACGTGTGCATTTCGCGCAAATATATCACCGATGTTTAGAAAAGCATCTTAAGCATCTATAAATATAACCAACATCTGATTTACCAAAAATAGTTGCTCGGATCGCGTACTAAAATCTGCACTATCACATCAGCGTTTGTTACAAGTATATTTCTGTACCGTGTGAAATATATACATGTTTTTATATTGTAGAAATATACCGTGGATTTTCACATGTTTAATAAATGTGTGTTTTTTTTTTTTTTTTCAAAAATACGCTCAATATCGCAGAAAATGACGTTAGTACGTCTAGCTCCGTCTAAAGTTAAACAACTTTTATATTCGAATATGAATCATTTTTCTAGTTTTTTTTATTTTAATTATATTTTGCACGCAATGGATATTTTTAATTTATTTCTATAATACATAATGACATTTACAAAAATAGTGGATACACTTCTTAACCCAGTTTTCAAATAGTTAACCATATTCGGCGAAC